TCACACCTTTGACAGGTATCAGTGACTTGATAGAAGGTGAAGTGTCCTTGGATGTCCACATCTTCCATTTTCTAGGAAGCGCACACTGGTACATTATGTTCCACAAGATTTGTCTTTATTGTTCACAATCTTATCACAAGAGAAGCTGATCACACTTCTCTTAAGTGTTTATTGTGTTTTGTGAGACACTTTGTTCACACTAACGCACAGATCAGTGTTCTTTGTTGGTTATCCTGGCGTCAGTGTCACTCTCAGTAGAGTCAAAAGTAATCTGAGGACGCCACAGCGCCCCATGCCGTCACTGCCCCTTGCACAAAAAAAAAGCTGACCTAGTACTTTTTCTTCCTTGCCACTTCCTCGATGAAGTAAAGCAGAATGTTTGATTCTTGCTGTCTTAAGCATAGACAACAATGTCCACTATCTTTACTATGGTAATAAAGTGGGAGCAGGATTTTCCTTAATTGTCCTGCTAAAGTAAGAGATATACTATCTCTTATTAAAATACACTCTGCAAGGAGCATCGGTCGAAGCTACCACGTCGCATACTTGTACGGCATCTGTGATCAATTACTCACTGTAGCAGTAAACAAGACGCTCGCCCCTTCTGAGAGGGCTTGGCCCCTCAGGGCTGAAAGGGGCTGAAGGGGGCTGATACCCCTCTCCTGGAGAAAGTTTCTCCATTAAAAGCAGGTGGTGATATAGTTTTGGAGTGGTTGGTGCTGTTATTTAATAAATGTATGGAAGAAGGTAAGGTACCTAGGGATTGGCAGAGAGCATGCATAGTTCCTTTGTATAAAGGCAAAGGGGACAAAAGAGAGTGCAAAAATTATAGGGGGATAAGTCTGTTGAGTATACCTGGTAAAGTGTATGGTAGAGTTGTTATTGAAAGAATTAAGAGTAATACAGAGAATAGGATAGCAGATGAACAAGGAGGCTTTAGGAAAGGTAAGGGGTGTGTGGACCAGGCGTTTACAGTGAAACATATAAGTGAACAGTATTTAGATAAGGCTAAAAAGGTTTTTGTGGCATTTGTGGATTTGGAAAAGGCGTATGACAGGGTGGATAGGGGGGCAATGTTGCAGATGTATGGTATAGGAGGTAGGTTACTGAAAGCAGTGAAGAGTTTTTACGAGGATAGTGAGGCTCAAGTTAGAGTGTGTAGGAAAGAGGGAGATTATTTCCCAGTAAAAGTAGGCCTTAGACAAGGATGTGTGATGTCAATATGGTTGTTCAATATATTTATAGATGAGGTTGTAGGAGAAGTAAATGCGAGGGTCTTGGCAAGAGGTGTGGAGTTAAAAGATAAAGAATCACACATAAAGTGGGAGTTGTCACAGTTGCTCTTTGCTGATGACACTGTGCTCTTGGGTGATTCTGAAGAGAAGTTGCAGAGGTTGGTGGATGAATTTGGTAGGGTGTGTAAAAGAAGAAAATTGAAAGTGAATACAGGAAAGAGTAAGGTTATGAGGATAACAAAAAGATTAGGTGATGAAAGATTGGATATCAGATTGGAGGGAGAGAGTATGGAGGAGGTGAATGAATTCAGACATTTGAGAGTGGAAGTGTCAGTGGATGGGTCTATGAAAGATGAGTGGTGAGTGGTGCGCTTAGGAGTCTGTGGAGACAAAGAACTTTGTCCTTGGAAGCAAAGAGGGGAATGTACGAGAGTATAGTTTTACCAGCGCTCCTGTATGGGTGTGAAGCATGGGTGATGAATGTTGCAGCGAGGAGAAGGCTGGAGGCAGTGGAGATGTCATGTCTGAGGGCAATGTGTGTGGTGTGAATATAATGCAGAGAATTCGTAGTTTGGAAGTTAGGAGGAGGTGCGGGATTGCCAAAACTGTTGTCCAGAGGGCTGAGGAACGGTTGTTGAGGTGGTTCAGACATGTAGAGAGAATGGAGCGAAACAGAATGACTTCAAGAGTATATCAGTCTGTAGTGGAAGGAAGGTGGGGTAGGGGTCGGCCTAGGAAAGGTTGGAGGGAGGGGGGTAAAGGAGGTTTTGTGTGCAAGGGGCTTGGACTTCCAGCGGGCATGCGTGAGCGTGTTTGATAGGAGTGAATGGAGACAAATGGTTTTTAATACTTGACGTGCTGTTGGAGTGTGAGCAAAATAACATTTATGAAGGGATTCAGGGAAACTGGCAGGCCGGACTTGAGTCCTGGAGATGGGAAGTACAGTGCCTGCACTCTGAAGGAGGGGTGTTAATGTTGCATTTTAAAAACTGTAGTGTAAAGCACCCTTCTGGCAAGACAGTGATGGAGTGAATGATGGTGAAAGTTTTTCTTTTTCGGGCCACCCTGCCTTGACGGGAATCAGCCAGTGTGTTAATAAAAAAAAAAAAAAATTTATAGTGCAGACACAAACATAATTACTTCTCATGGCACAAGACACAGTAACAAAACCCATCAAGTTCATTCATTGGAGCACTCTTACAAAATTCAGCTTAGAGCTATGGTCACAAATATATTCACCACTCACTATAAGCTAAGGACGAGTACAGTGGTACCTCAGGATACGAACAGCTCCCATCTCGAACAGTTATGTCAGTGTATTTATGTAAGTGCTTTTGTAAGTGTATTTTTGGGGGTCTGCAACAGATTAATCTAATTTACATTATTCCTTATGGGAACAAATTCCTTCGGTATCAGCACTCGAACAGTCTTCTGTAACAAATTAAGTTCATATCTCGAGGTTCCACTGTATATTTTAAGATGAATAATGTGTGCATTGTATATACATTTTTTAGTCCTAGCTGTATTGCTCACTTAATATATGATAGTGTAAACATATCAGCCTTTATATGCATTTGAAGGTGAAAAAGGCTATGTTTTAAATTACAGGCATTTTTTCTTGACAGCAGTAGCCCAGAACCTACCTAACCAGCTTTATAAGTAGGACCCACCTGTATATGTTTTCTAAGCTCTTAACATAAAATAGATCAGATTTCCTGAAAATACAGTGGACCCCCGGTATTCGATATTAATCCGTTCCTGAGAGCTCATCGAATACCAATAATATCAAAAACCGAATCAATTTTCCTCATAAGAAATAATGAAAATCAAATTAATCCGTGCAAGACACCCAAAAGTATGAAAAAAAAAAATTTTACTACATGAAATATTAAGTTTAATGCAATAGAATAATTACAATAACGATAAAATAATTGACACTTACCTTTAATGAAGATCTGGTGATGATTGATGGGATGGAAGGAGGGGAGAGGTGTTAGTGTTTAGAAGGGGAATCCCCTTCCATTAGGACTTGAGGTAGCAAGTCCTTTTCCAGGGTTACTTCCCTTCTTCTTTTAATGCCACTAGGACCAGCTTGAGAGTCACTGGACCTCTGTCGCACAACAAATCTGTCCATAGAGCTCTGTACCTCCCGTTCCTTTACGATTTGTCTAAAATGGGCCACAACATTGTCATTGTAATAGCTGTGTTAGGGTGATTTTCATCCATAAAGGTTTGCACTTCAACCCACTGTGCACACATTTCCTTAATTTTTGAAGTAGGCACAATGTATTCCACAACTGGTATAGGCTTCTCAGGGTTAGCCCCAAACCCTTCAAAATCTTTCATTTCCATACTAATTCTCACCCTTTTTACCACAGGGTTGGCACTAGAAGCTTTCTTGGGGCCCATGGTGACTTATTTTGCAGAAACAAGCACCAAACACAGTGATAATATGGATAATATGGAATGTACCGAATGTATCCTTAGATGCGCGCACACTGGCTGGCTTGTAAACACTGGCACACAAGGGGCAGTTCAGGCCACATGTGGACAGGTCTCGTACGAATCGTATCGAATACCGGGTTTTCAATCGAATACCGAGGAAAAATTTTTGCGATATAATGCATCGAATACCGGATTTATCGAATACCGATGCCATCGAACACCGGGGGTCCACTGTACAAGCTAAATACGTCTTGACAATCCGCAACAACTCAAATTATTATATAAGTGTTACAAAACCACTTCATGCATTAAAAATACCACTTTGTGCACAATAAGCAGAACTCTGCTGATATCCACATAACACACAACAATCGACTAATATATTTAATTTTCTTTCAGATTAGTAGTAGGAGATAAATGTTTTGAAACAAGTGGTGATGGTGATGAGTGGCAGGGAAAATTACAACTTTGGGAAGAATCTTTTTCTTCTGATGAATATGAAGATACTGAAGCCAAAGATCAAGAGAGATGGTTTACTGATGCACAAAGCAGTAGTTTGGATAAAACTGACTATGATGATAGTGACAATATTAAAACTACAGTCCATCTTAATGAAGACTGGGGTTAAGAGATACCATGGGTACATAATGAAGACGGGTTGAGAGGTACCATGGGTACATAATGAAGACTGGAGTTGAGAGGTACCATGGGTACATTAGTCCAGCTTGGCTCTCTTTCATCTTTACTGTTTCAATGAAACTGGAATTTTTTAATTCTTAACAGTAACATTATACTGTGTATTTTGTGGGAAAAATATGATAAAATTTTAATTTACTGAAGTGGAATATGTTATTATTATTATGTTTGCTTTCTAAATTGTTACTAGTAGCTCATTTTTAATAAGCTTTCCAATTCTTGTAAACTCTGATAATGTGCTATATTCATAGTTGAGAGTGTACTTAAACCATCTGCTATTCCATTACTTGCATATTATATTACCTACTTTATCAACCTATCATGTCTTATAGGCTATGTGTCCATGAATTAAAATATACATTCTATGGTTTGTTTTGTAAACTTTAACCCCTCTCTAAAAGGTTTCTTGAGCCAGAGAGTTGGACTTAGTCTTCCCTTCCTTGGATCAAACCTGATTGCCTCACATTGAGGTACTAAACCCTATGAGTTTAGTGCTCACTCCTACAAAAATTATAATAAATGACACATGGTAAAAAATTCTAACTACAGTGGAACCTCGGTTGTCAAATGGATTAGATGTTGAACTAATTGGTTTTTAAACCGATTTGCTCGATTTGGATTTTGTAAGTGGTCTTGGTTGTCGACTGACAATGCTTGGATCACATAATCACCAGAGTCCACAGCATGGGTCTCAGTCAGTATAGCAACTAACTCGCATGCTGTAAACATCTCTTAAGTTCTTGCTATGCATCTTGTGAGGGTAATGAAACCAAAAGTACGAAATTAGATGGAAAACTTATGAAATTATGCTAACGCGAAGTTAGCGGTCTCAGGGATATTTATGCATTGAAAATTTTGCCCACTTTGAGCCCTATTTTGGGCCAATTCCATTATTCCAGTCAACCAGACACACAGCTATTTCACTAGAACTCCATTTATTCTATCAACTGAGTACAAGAAACTGCCCATTTACCTATCTCAACTACCCAATAAAGTGATCTGAAATTACTAATTTGGCCAATTCACACAAAATTCAAGAAAGGCCAATCTCAAAATAGGGTCCAACATAAACAATGCACACATTCCTGGTACTAAAATAACATTTGATCTGTTCATTGATGACCCTTGTTGGTTTAACGCTTTATTTGATTATGATAATATCTGTTCATTAGTCATGTCTTCAGGCCCCTCTTATATTACACTTGCTTTTCATTTTGAATTTTTATTCATACAAAAAATAGAAGATTTATTGTTATTCAGACTAATGCATAGTTGTAATAATTGTATAATTAATATCAGTGCATTCGTGAATGCATATTAAATCCACCAGTTGACATGTATTGTATGCATGACATGATTTGTTTACTCTTTGAACATCAGCAAAAATCAAACATTTCCACTACTTTGAGCTCAATTTCTAGCTACTTTTAATCTTTAAACCATTGTAAATTATCTCGATTTCTGTAATATATCTTTCATTTTATCAAACGAGACCAAGAAAACGAGAATACAATAATAAATACCATACGAAAATTGTATCGTAAAGTCGCTGTTTTAAACCAAAAACGGTTGCAGTTTTTTTCTCATCCACTGCATACTGCAGATTTTTTTTTTTATACTGTACACACTGATCATACAGACCCATTCTCTCACATGTAGGCTTACCAGCTTTCTCCTGCAAGATTTGAAGCCTCTAGAATTTTGCCATTAGCTCTCTGACAGGTAAGAGGCAGTTAAATTTTCATTTATTGTACAACATTTCAGTTAAATTTTCATTTAGTATTCATTTTTGTAGTTTCCATATGCTGTATTTTTATACATTGTTTTTTGTAGTAGTTAGTACTTTATTATTACTAAATTATTATATTGTCATTTTTGGTCTGGAACGGATTAATTCTGTTTATATTATTCTTTGTGAGAAAAACTAGTTTGGTTGTTGACCATTTTGGTTGCCGAACCGACATCTGGAATAAATTAAGTTTGACAACAGAGGTTACATTGTATTATTGATTTTGCAAATTTACATACAGTGGACCCTCGGTTTTCATGTTTAATCTGTTCCAGAGCAGTCGGCGAAAACAGAATCCATTTTCCCCATGAGAAATAATGTAAATCCAATTAATCCATTCCCGTCACCCAGAAGTATTAGCAAAAAAAATTTTTTTACTTTAAAGATAGATTTACATGCACAAAAGAATGAACATCAACATGACACTTACCTTTATTGAAGGCTGTTCTTGATGGATGGAAGACAGGGAGGAGGGGAAAGGGAAGAGGTTATTCTTTGGAAGGGGAATCCCCCTCCATAAGGACTGTAGGTACCAAGTCCTTATCTGGGGCCACTTCCCTCCTTTGTTTTTTAATGCCACTAGGACCAGCTCGAGAGTCACTGGACCCCTGTCGCACAAAATAATTGTCCAGATAGGTCTGTTTCTGGTGTCTCTTAAAAATTTGCCTAAAATGGGACATGGCATTGTCATTGTAAAAATTGCCAGCACAGATTGCAACAGCTTTCTCAGGGTGATGTTCCCCCACAAATGAATGCACCTTAGTCCACATTGCACAAATCTCCTTACTCTTTGAAGAAGGCACCTTTTTTCATGTCTCTTCCTCCTCTTCTGAAGCAATTTCCTGAGCTGTGGTCTGTTGCTGTTGCAAATGAAGCTCTTGCAGCTCATAAGCGGTTAGCACTTGATTGTGGTCCTCCACCAACTCTTCCACATCTTCGCCACTCACATCCAATCCCATGGAATTCCCCAATGCAGCAACTGATTGCACAACAGGTGTAGGGGTGACAGGGTCAACCACAAACCCTTCAAAATTCTTCTTTTGGACACAATCTGGCCACAATTTTCCCCAAGCAGAGTTCATCATCCTGGTAGTCACTCCCTGCCAAGCCTTGTCTGTAAGGCTTATGCAGTGGAAGATAATGAAGTGATTCTTCCAGAACTCTGTTAGGGTCAATTCAAAGTCTGAAGTTATGTCAAAGCACCTTTGAAACATTGCTTTGGTGTACAGTTTTTTGAAGTTTGCAATAATCTGTTGGTCCATGGGCTGGATGAGAGGAGTGGTGTTAAGAGGCAAGAACTTCACTGTTACAAAACTGAATTCCTTAGACAACTGGTCTTCCAAGTCTGGAGGATGAGCAGGAGCATTGTCCACTAACAGGAGGCACTGGAGTGGCAATTTATTATCCAGGAGGTATTTCTTCACATTCGAGCCAAACACTTCATTGAACCATTCCAGGAAAATTTCCCTCGTGACCCATGCCCTATTGTTAGCCTTCCAAATCAAACACAGCTTACTCTTGACAACACCATTTCTCTTGAACGCACTGGGATTTTCAGAGTGATACACCAGTAAAGGCTTCACTTTGAAATCCCCACTAGCATTACTACAGAACATGAGAGTTAGCCTGTTTTTCATAGGCTTGTGTCCTGGGAGTGCCTTTTCCTCCTGTGTGATGTAGGTCCTCTTTGGCATTTTCTTCCAAGACAGGCCTGTTTCTTCACAATTGAACACTTGTTGGGGTTGGAATTTTTCAGCCTCTACATGACCTTTGAATTTCCACACCAATTTTTCAGCCGCTTGTTTGTTTGAACTGGCACCCTCACCATGCCTTACGACACTGTGTATGCCACTTTGCTTTTTGAATTTTTCAAACCAGCCTTTGCTAGCCTTAAATTCATGAACATCAGCATTCGTTTCAGGCAATTTCTTTATGAGATCGTCATGCAACTGCCTTGTCTTTTCACAAATTATTGACTGCACAACACTATCTCCTGCTAACTCTTTCTCTCTGATCCACACCGACAACAATTTCTCCACTTCTTCAATTGTTTGGGACCTCTGTTTGGTTATTGCATTCACCCCTTTTGCAACATCAGCTTCCATGATTTCTTTTCTCTTTGCCACAGTGGAGCTGATTGTTGATGGTGCCTTCCCGTACATCCTGCCGAATTCAGCTATGCGTATGCCACTATCATATTTTTGAACGATTTCTTTTTCATTTCTACAGTGTTCCTCACTTTCTTTACCAAAGGACTGGCACTAGGAGCTTTCTTTGGGGCCATGGTGGCTTATTTAGCAGTCATACACAATAAACAAGTGCTAAAAAAATGGATTATTATGAAACGTTTCGTATGACCTGGCAGGATATGTTCACTCACCGAGAAACAACGTGACACTGCCTGAGAATGCGTGTGGGAGGCAGCTTTGTCTGCGCACTGGGCAGGTTCTATACCATCAACGAAACAGAACCAAAATATGATGAAAAAAGGCAACAAAAACGGAAATCAGAAATAATGGAGATCGACGAAAAGGGAGGGTCCACTGTATAGTATTTTTCTGCATAAAGAGGGACTTTCCATAATGCATTAACACTTTCAGGGTCCGTGCCATAGATCTACGGCTACGGCTTTACGTTCAGGGTCCAAACCGCAGAGCTGCGCCAAAATTCTAGCGGCATCAAATTTAGCACGAAAAGGTTGGTAGGCCTACATGTGAGAGAATGGGTCTGCGTGGTGTGTGTGCGCCATAAACAAAAATTCTAGGCACCTGCATAGCATTGTGGGAATGCCGGCTCAGTTACCTTAGTTCACCATGCCTCGTCGCAAGGCAGCTCTCACTCCAAGGAAAATTGGGATCTCCTCTTCCTATCTGATAGTTCTGACTTGATGGAAGTGGAAATGAAGATGAATTCTTTGGCTTTGATCAGTTAGTGACCGAAAGGAATGACAGGATATCAATAATAGTGCAGAAAACCCTGACGATCCTCAACCTTCTACCTCTGGTGTGGGCACTCCTCAGTCACGGTCAGTTGTACCTCATCGCAAGAGAAAAACTATTATTTTCATGTGGCCAGGCTTCTGACTTCAGTAATGATGATGACAGTGACGTGGATTGTGATTTTATTGCCCTTGATGATCATTCGAGTAGTGATAGCGAGAAAACATATTCACCAGTGAAGCGTCGGTATATACACCCCCGCATGTGCTCGGGTAGTGTTCCCTATGCAGTGCCCAGGGGACGAGTACATCCCATGGCCCTACACCGGGAATAGACAGTGAAAGTGAGGATGATGTGGTACACTTGTCATGGATAGACCACAGGAAATCAGTAGGTGATGGTAGTGCCACGGCCACATATGATTCACCAGCCTAGGCTGGGACCCACGCTGCTGACTCCTCAGTTCAAGGACAAAGTGGAGTGTCAGCCACCAGCCCACCCACAACCACAACTACCAGCACAAACCAGCCTATGATGTCCAGTATCCACCAGCAAACCATATCTGGGATTGCAGCAAAATCCCAATTTTGTTCCCAAGCCCCACGAGTTTGATGACTCTCAAAGTGAAATTCTACCT